TTCTAGCTTGTATGAAGTTGTTGTTTTTAGTGCGACAAGCTGTAATTTTGAGAGAAATGACTTAAAAATGGTCAGATGCAGACATGGCAAGATTTTTGGATGCTTATCAAAACTATGATGTATTATGGAATCCACAAACCGAGCTTTATCGCAATCTACAATCGAGGCGAGCAGCATTGCAAGTAATTCTACAACACATGAATAAACCCAAAATAAAGAGTGGTTCCGGACCTGACGACTTATATGTACCGTTTCTAATTTGGTTTAAATATGCTGATAGTTTTCTGAGAACAGTAACGATAGGAGGGAGAAAAAGCCAATCAAATATGGTACTATAGCTAATGGATTTTAACAAGAGCTATGACTTTGTAAATAACAGGTAAACTTGTGTACTAAATCGGCATGACATAGCTCTTGTCAAAATCCCTTACGTTTACAGCCATTTTGGACTTTTTTCACGGGTCGATTTGGGTTGAACGATTTGGATCGTTCGACCATAATTCGATCTGTGCCGAAAGCATAAAGGTTTACACGACAGTCGATGAATGTTGAATTAATTTTGTAGTACAAATTGGAGTCACGTGGAATTCTTAATTTAGGTGTGCAATTAATTTGTTATGCTGGGTATCCGAAGAATGATAATCGCTTGATGCGATCGTATGTTCAGTAAAGATTCAACATGATATGTTGGTAATGTCGTTGAACTTAACTTTAGGCGTTCTTGTGTTAAGGTATTTTGGAACTGCTGTTTAATTTCTAAAGCTCTCTGCAGCGGCAACTCTCTCAGTTGGTTTCAATACGTTTGCCAAATGTTGCAAACTCATTTCCGACGTTTGAGCTCTTCGAGATCTCCTCCAACTTAGTTAAACCAATTGCTCCCAATTTGTCTACAGTAGAATTGATTATTCGAGCTACATATGTGACTTGGATAATTGGCTTCGTACAACTGCTACAAATTATATTACTACAGGAACAGTGGATGTTACAAATGTAGATTCTAAGGCGCGTTTTCACGGGTCGATCTGGATTGAACGATTTAGATCGATTATTAAATCTGAATATGTAAACCATAAATCGACTTGGTAGTTCGGCGGAGTAAGTCGATTCGACGGAAGTAGAAAGACTGTCTACTTTTGATAGGCGATTGTCGCCAAATCGATGTCGAACGACTGGAATCGATTGTGAACCTCGTCGAACAGAAACACAAGCGTGCCGAAAGCTGAGTAGAGTACTTCTAGCGTGTATGAAGTTGTTATTTTTAGTGCGACAAGCTGTAATTTTGGGAAAACATGACTGAAAAATGGTCAGATGCAGACATTACAAGACTTTTGGATGCTTATCAAAACTATGATGTACTGTGCTTTATCGCAATCTACAAGCGAGGCGAGCAGCATTGCAAGCAATTTTACAACATATGAATAAACCCAAAATGTCTGATAATGACTTGAAAAATAAAATCAAAAATATTAGAACAACATACAATCGTGACTTGAGCAAAGTATTGAAATCACTAAAGAGTGGTTCTGGACATGACGACTTATATGTACCGGTATAATTTGGTTTAAACATGCTGATAGTTTTCTTAGAACAGAACGAAGGGAGGCAGAAAAAGCCCATGATAGGGAGATAATTTTTTTTTATTTTGAAACAACATACATTTTGTTGTACTAGTCCTTAATAAATAATTTCATTTTGCCACGGCACTGAACCGGGGTCCACAAAATAGTCAGCAAAAGTGTCCTGGATTTCTGCGGCTTTCTTCGAATAGTTGTTACTTCCCATATGTGTTGTAATTGCACCTAAATTTCTAGTTCCTCCATCGCTTCTCCACAATCCTAAAGTAATCGTATTAGTATCTACATTTTCAACATCCACGTTTCCTGTATTAATATAATTTGTAGCAGTTGTACGAAGCCTATTATGCAAGACACATTCAGCTCGAATGATTAAATTTACTCTAGACAAATTGGTAGCAATTGGTATTTCAAATATTCTAAATCGTGAAGCCAGTTTACCAAAACCATTTTCGACAATTCTTCGGGCACGGGATATAAACGGTAATTAAACACTTTTTGTTTGTGTGAGAGCACTCCAATTCTTCAATACGCTGTTAAAATATTTGTGTGGAAACGCATTATCAGCTACAAAAAATTGTATTTACAGGCAAATTAAGTTGAGTGTTGACACTTACATTAAGAATTTCACGTGACGCCATTTTGTACTACAATTATGTTTTAACATTCATCGACTGTCGAGTAAACCTTTTTGATTTCAGAGCAGATCGAATTATGGTCGAACGATCCCAAATCGTTCAACCCAGATTGACCCGTGAAAACGCGCCTTTAGCCAGCATCACAAGTATTTAAATTTCTTTACTCTTTTTGTAAAAAATTGTTTGTAAAATTGTTAGCATGTTTCATTTAAGAATAATTCGGGGAACTGATGCTGATAAGCATAAAACTTCTCAGATATAGATTAAATTAGAAGCAACTAAATATCCGCAGAAAGTAAAACCTTGTTTTTATTTGTAATAAAACTGCATAGCTTATTTCTAAGGCTTCCTGTTTTCTGCTGGGCCTGTCCTCTTCAATTCTAACCTTTTTTTTATTGGTTCATCATTATCATTATCCATTTGTCTCTGTGACTATTTATTTCTTCTTGAAATGTTATCAATAATGACGTCCATTTGCTCCCTTATACCTTGAATTCCTACTTAAAAATTCTATAAATCTTTTTTCACTTTAACAGAATCAGTGCATACTTTTTGCAATTGGTGAAAATATAATTTAATAACGTGAGGCAATATTTTATTAAAAATAAATAACCAAAATACAAAATGTTTATCGTGGAGCTTTAATTTATAACCATTTTGTTGATTAATGGTTGACAAATCACTTGAAGTACTTTGTATAATGTCCATAACTGCAATGAGGTCTTTTCTATTTTCATGAATAGTATGAGCACCCCATTATTGAAAATTCCAACGTGTTTGGGAATATATTGGCAACTTGCGATTAACCACCTCATCCAAAAATTTAGTTCTTTGAGGAGACGTAGAAAAGAATGAACACAAACCAGATAAATTAGCAAAAATATCCTAGCCTGCTTATTGATAGAACAAGCAATTGTCATAATTAAATTATTTTGGTGTGCATAGCAATGAACGTAATTTGCAAGAGGATATGTTTCCTTAATAATTTTTTGCACACCATTTAATCCATCCCTTATAACAGATGAGCAATCATGTCCGTCCTGCACATAAAATCTTCAAAATCCTCCCAACTCCTCGTCCTTTACACAAATATCGGAAAACTAAAACTAATTGAAATTCACCAGCAACGTCTATCGTTTCATCGGCAGTCACTGCAAAATAAGGAGAATTTTTCAATTTCTTTCTTAATTGAATGATAAACATCCAACACGCACTCAAGGAGTTCATTTTGGGTTGTTTTTTGAGGTATCTTTAAAATATTTGGAACTTTAAATATGAATATATTATGAAATTTAAGTCGTTGTCCAATTTGGCGCTAAAATTAACCAGCTCCTTAAATATGCCTCTGTTTTCTGAATTTTTGGTTTCGTCATAACCTCTAAGAGCTAACTCAAAAGCTCCACAAATCCTTAGACAATTTATGATTTAATTCAAGACATATCGATTCTTATCCACCTGTTCATTGTGTTGACCTGAATTTAATTGGGTTTTTATATTTAACTTAACAAGCATTGAAAAGCCAAAAACTTTGTACATGTGCACTTTAGATTTTTCATGGGATTTCATTTTCTTTCATGTATGAACAAGATCATCGGTGCCTTTGTTTGACAAAGTCTCGACACCTCCAAACAAAACGCATACAGAACAAAACAGTTTATTAGTTTGTTCGCCACCACACAACCAGGTCTTTTTATCATAAATGGTTTTATTAAACTTACGTCAGTGAAGTTCTTGTGCCCTTCCACTTTGTTTTTCAATTTTGAAATCGGGTAAAGGCCGACCGAGTTCTTTAATTTGTAGTTTTGTTTCTAACGAAAAACACTGAAAGAGTTTTTTAAGATATTAATTTAATTCATTGTCAATAAATAAATTAAACGAACGAAGTAATCAAAATATTATTTTAGATAATAAACACAATAGCAGCAAGCGAAGACGTAAATAAACTGGAAATAGATAAGATCTACTAAAACTTCCATTTCGGGATTTCGTGCCTGGCTCGAGTATACTCATTTAAAAGTATTACTAAATATATAATATATAACTATATCTCTGTCACTCGAATAGGATGCTCGTAAAATCTTTCTCTTTTCATAGGAGCTACTATGACTTTAGCACCAGCAGATTATTTGATTCGTTGTCAATAAATAGCATCGGTTGTGAGAATTGAATTGCGCACACAGTTGCCAGATTTAATATATTTTATGAAGATAAAAGAAATACACACAAAATAATTAGCATTAAGATGTTTTAAAAGATAACATTATTATTCTAATATTTTAAAGATTAACATTAAGATGTTTTAAAGATGTGAGTACCATGGCTCTATGGCACTACCTCACGGACCGCCACTGCCTGATATATCATCTATGCAATAAAGTTCAATAGACTAAAATCGGCAGGACATTTGATACGGAATAGGGATAGCCGACTTATATACAATGTATTTTGGGAAAGACCAAATCGAAGAAAAGCTGCAAAACGGCCTAGAAAAAGGCCGAAAAATCCTTAATACTCAATAACAGTTGTAACCCCATGATGATGATATCAGCAAGTAAAGAAGTTATAAAAAGGATAATCAAAATAAGAGTTACGGTAGGAATGGCATACTAAGAAATTTAAAATACAAACTTTAAGTTAAAGTCTTCAACTACGTATAATCTATGGAAAATAGAGAGAAAACTTAAAATAAGCCTACAATAAATGTCTTTAATAATTATTTTAAAGACACTTTTTAAGAAGAAGATCAACTACATAACTAGCATAAAAACAAATACTTGTTACAGTAATAGTTTATTAATTTTGTCCTTCTTTTAAACTCTTTTTCTTCTTTTTGATTGGACGCAGTTTAATGGCTGGAAGAATGACTTTTAATGACGAATTGCTGTGATACCAATCTCTCCAAGCTTCGGCGTGTTTCTGGCAAATGTAAAGGACCCAGGAAGAGTAAGTAAAATCGATAGCCGCCATCCCTAAAAATAATTTTATACTGTAAAACTACAAACGTTATTATTCCATTAAAATAAAAATCTACTGATAGATGAGGTAGATGAGAAAAGATGAGATGGAAAAACTATCGTGCTCCTTAGTAGACCGAAACGGCATAAAAAAAAATAAAACATGCATCTACTCTTAAAAGTAAGTATCTACCAATTACCTAGATCTTTCTCCATCCTGTGCCCATATGCCATCTACCGATCTTTCTCTTGGACTCCGATTAAGAATTCTACACATTCATCTATTGTGCCATCATATCTGGCTAGGTGGCCGATCCTTGGCCATTTCATTTTTACTAATCTCATAAGATATCCGTGACTTTTGTTGTGCGTCTTGTTTTGTGTTTCGAATCTGGCCTCTCAGTGCTACCCCATACACATTTTCTTCCATTGCTCTTTGTATTGTTTTTAGTCTTCTAATATACTTAATGATACGTGACATGGTCTCTAATTCATAGGTGCAAACCGTCCTCCTACCGTTTCGAAAACTTCGTTTAGTTGTAACTTTTCTTTATCGTCGAATTCCACCTGATTCCCTCTAGATCTAAACTGAAAACCTGTTGATACTGACGTCGCCAGTACCTCACTGGTTGACTGCTGACGGTCAGACCCCAACTGACTTAATAAAATCTCTCCATCTCTGCGACGATACGTCTTCGCCGGTAAAAATTCCCCCGCGTGGCTCTGCTTAGAGGCATATGGCAGAGATATCTGACAATGTAAACAAATAGTTATTATTCCCATTCTTGAGACACAATACTAAAAGAACTGAGTTTTACAAAGGAACGATTTAAAAAGAAAGACGAGATTGCTTTTATTCGATGTATAAATAAACATTCAGAGTATGTATTATCGTTCGAAATTAAAGTATTTCTCTTTCGAAGATTTGTAATACGAGAATTAAAACTGTATACAGAGTGGAACAAAAAAATGCTACATTATAATAACAATGACAAAACCGATTACCACAAGGTTAACAATAATTAGGTATAAAGATACAAGTAAGAAACCAAAATATCAAAGAGAAACAAACCAAAATATCAGAAAACAACAGATCTATAGAACATGGTGCGATTAGAAAAAGCACGAGAGGGATTCTAGAGAGGTCATGTTTACAGGATGCCAGAAGAGAGATCGACAAGTAGGGCTAATAATCGGAAACCAAACACTCGTATATAAGTAGGAAGACCTCCTAAAGCTACCAAAGTTAGAGTTCACCGTCACACCCAAAGCGCAAAGGAAGGCTAAATATAACATAGGAAGCAGGAGCTAGTCTTAGTAAAAGAAAAAGGCAAAGCAGAAAAATGTTCACACGATTTAATTATTTGATTTAGTTTATACATATTGTAAAAATTATTATTATAAATATTATTTATTAACTTACCAAAAACTGCTGAAAATGCAATTATATGCGAAGGTATCGTACCACTTTGAATAACATTGGACTTTACGAGACTTTCGCACATCATCATTAATATTATAGGTAGAAACGATAGCTGTTGGAGTATACAAAGAAAACATCACCAAATCAAAAATTAATTCTTTCAGTTGGGGGCCTGGCGCCCTTAGGTAAGCGAAGATGGATCGAATGAAGCTATACCTAAAAAATATTTATTAGTGTACAATAAGACTTGTAAAACGTGAAGAGAACGAAGATAGTTATATCTCAAGAAGATATGTTCACACAATGAATAGAAAAATTTAAAAAATTGACTGGAAAAAAACATCAACAATAAAATGCATTTTTTATTAACTTATAAAAGTAAAACTCTCAGTGGTTGGCTTGTGATATTATTTCTCAGATATTAGAATTCATAAATAATCCCAAATAATATTTCTTAAATTCCGTTACTGTTTTAATTAAAATTGTTTTCACTCAGAATCTGGAGCACAAGTAGTAATCGCGGTGTGTCAAGTTTAACAAAATACTTGAGCTTGCATACTTGCAAATAATCCAAGTGTGGCTATTTTCACAACAAAGCTGACCTACAGATTGACCTATATCTTCATAGGCAAGGAAGATTTTATAAAAAGAGTAAACAATGAAATAAGGGAAGTTGGTAACTTAATGTTGAGATAATATGTCAGTATATTTGTATTAACAGAAGAAATCTTAGCAACGTGTAACCATTATTACAACATACAACATAATATATTAACGATTAATATGTAAAGTATTAACCACATGTGTTCTTTAGTAAAGATGTAAATTCATAGTATAATGCTATTTATATTCAGGCGATATATACCATGATGGTGTAGCAGGATGGACAATGTAGATTATTTACCGCATAGCAATTCTTAATAACTAAATCGTATATGTTGACACGATAGGCCCTTCCCTAAAAGTAATGAAGCTAATTGATATTGAATTACAACGCTTTCCGAACTGACGAAATACGCAGTAAGTATCCCAGTGTGTAATAAAGAAGCCGAGACAATAGCTTATGCAATTTTTGAACATTTTGTATCAACATACGGACTCATTAAACATATTAGGATGGGTCAAGGCAAGAACACAAAAATTAAATAACGAATGGTTTAACTAAAACGCCAAAGATCACACACACTTCTTCAACTGTATACCACCCCAAGTCAATATGGACTTGTGAAAAACTACATAGGACATTTAATGAATACGTAAGATCATTTACAGATGGAAACAACGAAAATTTGGATGAGTCTTGTAGGCATAATATCATGGCTATACACCTTTCGAATTGTTGTATGATTAGAAAGTGAATTTGCCAGAAAATCTCACACAAAAAATTCAACCATGCTATACAACATAGATGCCTACTGTAATGAGCTCCGATATAAACTACAATTTGCATACGACAGAGCAAAAACATTCTTCTTAAAGTACAAAAAGGTCAAGAGAAGACGTAAGTTTTATGATAAGGGAAAAAGTGGTAAGACAGATACCACTTAGGGGTCGGCAATAGGCATATGCAAAGCAAAGCGATAGTTGTAGCAACTTCCTTGGACGTGGCAGTAGCATTACACAATGTCTTCTTCAGGTTTAGAGCTTAGAATAAAAGGCGTACTTCCTTCATCTGTCAATGGTCAAAGGAAGCTTTAATAAATAGGATTATTGTATCCTCATTAGGAGAAACCATCATTGTGTCGAGGGTAGAAAGTGGTTGCTTACAGTACCATCCGCAGTACTATACTGATGGGCGATCTATTAACGAAGCTGTGTAGGGAAGGTTTTTATTGCATTGGATATGCAAATGACCTAGAAATCGTGGCAAAGAATGTTTTGTTAAAACAATCTCAGCAGTTCGCCTGGACAACTCGGGTGGGGGGAGGGCTTTAAAATCAAACAAAACTGCAGTTGTCGCCTTTACTAAAAAATAGCTCTACAAGACACACTATTTTCATCAGTGCTCAGAGAAGTGAAAATTCTATTCATAAGTGAGGCCAAATACTTAGATGTAATATTCGATTAGACGCTGACGTGGAATACTCACAAGGGACGGGCGCGTGAATGGTTTTCCATTCCCGTTCACGCCTGCTTACGGTTACTTAATTTCACACACGCCCGTTCAGGCACGTGGTTTTTAAACACGTGACTCACGCCCACCAGTGTTCCAATCGCGAATTGTAAGTCACCCTTACACTCCATCGTTCACGTTTATGCCCGAAAAGGTTACTCACGCTCACAACGAGTCACGTGACCTTAAACACTTGATCAGTATTTTCGTTGATTAGGAAAAACTGTTGAAATGTGAATATATATTGTATGTTATCTATAGGGTTTGTTAGACTTGCCATTATCAATAGGTATAAAACAAATTAATATACCAACTCATAATAGAAGCGACCGAGATGAACTATTAGCTTCTATAGAAATTTAATTGCTTAAATGTTATAGTTAGTAAGAGAGAATAGACCTTTGAGAGAGATATAGAGCGAGAGCGCGAGAGAGAGAGAGCGAGAGCGCGCGAGAGAGAGAGAGAGAGAGAGAGATAGAGAGAGAGAGAGAGAGAGAGAGAGTAATTACTATTTTTGTGGGTGATAGCTTTGTGAGTTCATCTTTAGAAGTTGAACAAATACAGAAAACTTGCGATATGTACACAACGTACTCTATAACTAGCATTTCCCCTTTTTTTTACCTCGAAATATACTACATGAAAATAAAAATAAATCAAAAATATAATACCTGGGACTCTTTTCAATTTTGTAATGGTGCATGCATAACTCGCAATGACTATGTTGTGAATCTTTAAGCCATCTTTCCAAACATTTCAAATGTACCAAAGCTACAGTTCCTCTGCATCTACAGGGCATCAAAAGATCATCAATACTTTCGCCACCATGGCATATCCGGCACATGTGATCAGCTGAATTTGTCTAAAAGATTAATTTTACATTTTATACGATTATTTTTTTAAACTTTGTTATATACACATAAGAAACTTAAATATTGTTTCTAATATTCTAAAGTTTCATAGAGTAAAATAATATATCATAACAGTGATAAATAATCCACAAGAAATAGAATAAAGGGTCCTAGAGTTCGAAAACATCATACACGAAGCACTCAGAAATAGCACTACTTAAGAAGAAATAGACATACACATGGGAAGGTTTAGAGACATAAACCAGGAAATCAAGGACATAAGGGAAAATAACAGAGTCAAAAAGAGAGCTAGAAGGATAAGAAACCAGGAGGATAAAAATAGGGCAAATCGGCTAAACATAGAAGTGAAAACAGTACTAGCAAAACAAAGAAACTGACAAGGGATATCCACGTTCAAGAAATGAAGGAAAAAGGTCCAAAGATGCAAAACATATGAAAACTACAAAAATTACTAAGAAATGATAAAAAAAATACCTCCTCTACATGGTGAAAATGAAATTTTCATGAAATGAAAATGAATTACCATAGATGAAAAAGCTGAGGTGATGAGGAGGACACTTGAGAGAGACTGTACATTAAATTATCGCCAAGAGGAAGTAGACGATGTAGACGTCATCGAAGAAGTCGAGAAACAACAAGAAATGTCCGGAGAACCAGAGGAGATAATCACACCTACATCTCCTCAAGAAAACGAATTAATTAAAAATAGCTCACCGAGAAAAGCACCTGGTCTAGATGAAATTTCAAATAGAGCTCTAAAGTATCTACCAGCAAAAGCAATAGTTTTTTAATCGGTAAACATGAAGTTATTATAAAATCTGCGGTTTATACTAGGTTTATACATCAAAATCAAAAAGGGTCTTATATTAGCTAGGAAAACAGCTAGAAAATATCTGGTTTAGCCGCGGCAAGTGCTGCTCATTCAAATCATCCTTAAAACTGAAAGAAGAAGAACTACACTGAAAATAATTGTTACATTTGGTACTTTAATGAACTTATATAGAACACTATATAAGTCATCTTATAGTCTGTAACCATTTTGAAAAAACAAAACTTTAAATAAATAATTTGTTTTATAATTGTAGTTTATTCTTAATAAGATATTTGATAAAAGCTGAAGTACCAAAAAACAATCACTTTCAAGTGAATCAAACGAGTGAATCAAACTTTCAAGTGAATCAATTTTTTTAAGTGAATCAAACGAGTCTAATAAATGTGACTTACTTACATTTGAATCAAGTAGAGCTACATAGAGTTCATTCTCATTTGTTCCCATTTTATTTGAATGTGCCTTACTTCTTGCTGATAACAAGGGTAACTTTTTAATTTTTCTAGCTTCAAAAATACTTTTTAGGGAATTTTCCATCGATATACTTTCCGCAGATTTATTGTTTAGTAGTTTAAAGCTATCTTCAGAGTAACAGCCTTCTGTAGGTTAAGAACGATTTTATTAAAATATACAGTAAGTTTACCCATCATAAGCTTGGTTAATCATTCATAATACCCCACATGAAACGAGCGAAATGCTTTTTCCAAATGGTTATATTGGTCAAACACAATATATGTGAATACTTTCAATTCAATAATATACATATAAGAGAAGGCAACGAGTAGAGAAAAGAAAAGATGCTTTCCCTCTCCGCTTTGTAACTTACAGCATATAACAAACATAACGTGATACCCAATTTTATTAAAACTCACTTTCTCCATGTTTTACTCCATAAATGGAGTAGAAGCATGCTTTGTGATGAACATTCCATCTATAAATTGTCTCCTTAGACGAGTATTTTTACAGTATAACTATTTGCCGTAATTAATGCCCTAACCTTTATTCTAGAAAAACAAAAATTCCCAAATGTCTTATAATATCTGATTCACTTAGTTGTTTGACATAAATTTCTCAGATTTATCCCTCTCATCCAACATAACAGAAGATTAAGTTAATTTTATACCGTATATACCAAAACAATTTGACAGTAGAGTTCCTCTGGGTACCGTCACACGTTGGAATAGATGGTAACGAAAAGGCAGATAGTCTAGCTGGGTCCGCAGTAACCAGTACATCCACATCAGTGGAAAATCTAACGGTCCATTTAGATTTAAAAACTCATTTAAAAGCAAAATTCCACGATGTTTGGCAAAACCACTGGAATATACTCAGTTGAAAGACCATATCACCACATTCCAAAAACATTAAAAGAACTTCTAGGAAAATGTAAATACGTAGCTGACTTGATAGAATTCTTAAAATCTATAAACTTTTTTAATAAAATTGAACACAATACATCAATAACTAAAATATATATTGTATACCTTATTATGTAATTGATATTTTGTATATGCCTATGTATGCCTTTATCACTTTTCGTATTTTCTTATGCTTAAGTGGTCGAAACAAAATAAATAAAAAAAGATGCTTAGATATATTTATTTGTTTAAAAATGAGAATTTTAGTTGATTATATATACAGTACGATAAGAGGATTGCTTTTAAAAAAATACATCGTTACAGTATTTGATGCGAAAGTTGCCTCTATATAATCTCGGAATCTAATAGAACTAGAGCTAGAGAATCTTACAGTTATCATCTATAAAAAAATCCTCTATTATAGTCCTGGATGTGGCATATACTCCAATAGTTAGCCCGAAATCATTTTTCGAAATTGGTTAGGCGAATGGATCTAGTAATTCGCAGTTATATTTCCAACCACACACGTGAATAAAGTCACCATGAACATGAGAGGGGCACGCTAAAGAGATTATTAAGGCACTTTCACAGCCAAAAGATCTTTAGGATAATAGATAGATTACTTACTGGATACTGTATGCTCAAAACACATTTCAGTCATATATGGGTTTGACAGAACAGGCTTTCTGCTTGTTTAGTTTTATTTTGTCTAGAGGATAAATATATTAGATTACACTTCTTATGTCACCACGAAGGCATTAAAAGATTGCGAGGCAAAAAACTCAAAGAGGCAAAACCAGCAACATGAGATTATGTGCAGAGACCATTTTCAAGGCAGTGAAACATCAAGAGGGGTAGATGAAGAGCTGTAATGATAAAAGCGATCAAAATAAATATGTAATAGTCACTGTGAGTTAGGATGTTGCCTTCCTATTTCTATCTATACTTCATCTAATTTACATACTGATGCACGTCATCGGCGTTATAGCCCGTGACGTCACATGATACCAACACGAAATATTTAGGAGGTAGGTGTGTTCTTTTTTAGAATCACTTTGCCGAGTACACTGGCATTACAGCCACTAGACATATTTTATTATATACGCGTAGAAATAATATTTAAAGATTTCTATTAATGTTAACTTAAAGAAATACACAATAATATGTTTCATTTAATTTGTATAAATGCATTATAAAGCGTTTTTATGAAGAACATTTTCGGAACACACTGTAACTGTAATCGAACGAAGGTGAAATTTTGGCATAAAGTGGTAACACTTATTTGACAGTTGCGGTGTTGACACTTTTTGTACTTTATTATTTTGAATTTTAAAATGAATACCTCTTGTTTTATATTTTTACCTATTTAATAAAATCTGTGCTTTTTAGAACGAAATTAATGTGTTTTATTTCAAAAATGTCACGTAAGAATTTAAATAGTCGTTTCAAAGAGATGGTAAAAAAGATAAATACTTTTGCAATAATTATGTGACCTATTTGATTTGAAATGGAGTCAAGATTTTTTTATACTTTGGCAACTATGTCAACTTCGATCTCTGTCAATGATAATGACGTGCATCGGTAAGTAAATTACATGAAGTATATGTATGTATTCTCCTACTATATACCTCTACAATGCAGTCCTACACCTCATTAAAATACGTCAAAAAAACTGCTTAATTTCAAATATGGCCGTTTTTCACTATACTTAGTATTAAAATATATGTATTAGTATGATCTTACCGTAAATATTAGATTTTGATGAGCAATTACTTTTAGAAAACAATCCGACGTCTGAAGATATATACAGGAAAATATCTTGTGAAATAGGTTTGCCTTCCTTTTCTTCTTGTAAAGCTTGATATTTGAATAAAATTTCGCTATTGACACTTTGACTTGTGGCTAAAATAAAAAAATATCTAACTGAAGTATATTTTATGGTATATATTTTTCGACATATTATAGGTACTCATAGTACACATGGAACTTTTATACTAAAGATATCCTCCAGAGTGTATCGTAAGGCTCTGACCAGCATTTGAACTTTAGAAAATTTACTCCACCAGTTCTACCACTTTGTTTTGAATAGTTAGATGGTTATTGGGGACCATATTTTCAAATATGGTCATAAAATTGGTAAATTTTGGTCAAGTTCATTCTAAGGCCCATCTTCGAACATGCAAAGTAAAATTCATTTAATATATCTGTGGCTTCTCCAGAAGAAGATCTGTTGGCCGAAGGTAGAACTCAAGGTTGAAGAATCTACGATCGCATATATATCGCAATCTATAAATGCAGATCGATTGATTTGTTTAGAGCAGCAAGTTCAAAAATAAAAATAGCCATTATGATTGCCAACCTCCGTAGGGAGACGGCACTCTAAGAAGAAGAAGTGGCTTCTCCTAAATTATCTGTGATAAGGACAATGTCATCTGCGAAACGGAGATGGGTAAACTTTTCGCCATCTATTGTTACTTCTCTGTGGTCTCAGTTGATCATCTAAAAGGCATACTCTAATGCTGTTATGAATATTTATTGGTCGGGTTTTTATCGTGTATCTCAACAGTTACAGTGGCATTTTTGTAAATATTGTAAATAAGTTCACTATACCTATGGTCAATTCTGCTGTTATTAATTGCTTCTATAAGGCCTCTTTTTAGGCTTAAGTATAAAAACAGCCAGTGTATTGTTGCTTATATCCCACTAAGAGATATCTACTTTATTTTTATTCATAATTGTACCAGTGCTACCTTCATTACAATGAAAAAAAAAAAAAAAATCTTCCGCAATCGAAATATAACGCTATGCCATGATTTAGAACGTTGGGACGCAAGCAAAATAGTTTTCCAAATTAAATAATGCTGTTTATATTGTCGTGTCCCAGATTGCGACCCTGTCTTTAGCCACAGAGTTGTATTTCACATAAAATGCTGGAAAAAATGGAAATTTTATAAACTAGCCTTTCAGGCCCTTTCCTTTTCCTAAACCAGGTAGTTATATATCCCATCATGTGGCACATCCCCACGCCAAATAGCCTTACCAAATAAATTTTACAGCATTCTCTTCGCAATATGCTTTTGTTGCATTTAATTGTGAGATTTTACTACATTTTATTTTAAAATTAGTTATTTTCTAATTTTCATAATTCAAGTTATTTTTGTAAAAGGGACGGTTATGAATATGCCAGAGGAAGGTAAGTTCTCAATATTGAATCAATTTTTAAAATCTTACCCTTCTAGAACTTCAATCATAATTATTAAAACTTTTTTGCATAATTTTCATTATAAATGAATGTTTTTTAGTTACCCTCTACTCATCGATACCACAAAAGCACTATACTGTGTCGATACTGCGTAAGAGTTATTCACGCCGTTAAATGTTCTCGCCGGCTTGCAATTCTTTACAAATTCGCCTCAGGTCTTCCTCAGTTCTCGGCATATTATTCCGAAGACGTTTTCTGATTTAAGGCCCTGCGCCTTTCTTCCTCGTCGATACTGGGCAGTTATCGTCGAAAAAGGGCCATTTTTATTCAAATAAACTCGTTATGGGTTAATATTTCTGATAATGTCCGTATAGCTTGGACATTAGTGATGATCATTTTGTTGTGTTGTCAAAATTATCAATCAGCCTGTTCAAAAACGTTTCGTAATTCACATCAGTCGTGAATTTGCTCTGTGCCCATTGAACTGCCTCTCCTATTAAAGATGTTTCTGGGATGTAGGCTATTCAATATTTGGTGTATATGTTCTTATTGTTCATCTAGTCTATTATCTCATTTACGAACTCTTGTGGATTTTCATATCATCGCAAGAGTATGTAGGTGGTGCATGGGTCCATTTTGATTGCGGAAGTTTCATCTTTGGTTTGTCCTGGGCTTTAATTACCTTACTCTGCACTATTGTTAGTGCCGTCACAGCTGCTTGTATCAATGTAGATAATAAAAATGGCAAATCTGGGTTGTGGGATTCATCCGTCTGTTGGGCGCCATGTCGTACGGTCTGTGCATCATCCGATGTATTCGAAGATTCTTGATGACTTCGCTGCTCTGGAGCCTCCCTTGCTCGTGGAGTTTAAGTGACCTCGACTTCCACAATACTTCAACAGTTCGAGTTTTCTTACGTGAATAGTATATATTTATCTTACATGAATAATTTGTCTAGTATTCTGAGCACAGAGGATGCCTCACTTCATACCGCCTCCACTCACGAAATATTCTCAAGTCCCATAAGGGACTTTTTATTTTTGTCGAATGGTTTTGGTGGACTAAGTGCTGCTTCAGCTCGGCCACCGATTGAGAAGTAATTCTAAGTCCACCTGGTGCTTTTATTCACTCCTAACCGTCGGTGGTATAGTGGAACACTGTATTAGTTCGACACGATCTGAAATAGCTTTAAGATAACCTGTCTTTCCCTATTTCAAAGGTCGATTGTCTATTTGGCCAGGGAGCATTCTCTCCGAGCTGTTAGCTGGTTTCCGCGAGGTAAAAGCTTTTGGAATCGTCTTCGAAGCGAAATGATTCTAAAACGAAGAAATGTTCACTCAGGTAAAATAAAACGCAGAATCGTTGAGAAAGGCACTCGGCCAACGACGTCTAGCTGGGGTCAAGATGTAGACCGACTTGATCCCGATCGGAAGATGCACTGCAGTTTTATGCATTTTTTATAGTTTTTATAGTTTTTATATAGTTTATAACGCTGTTTGTTATTGGCTGGCCAGAGTGACAATATTCGCTGTGATTGGCCGCTTTATGTTGAGTTTTTAGAGTTAAATAAAGTCACACCTCGTTATGCTTCACTTAATCTCTGAACCCACAGAAAACTGTAACACTATCATAGTCCATGGGCAATACCCTACTAGCCTTAGACAAGAAAAGAGAGAAAACAGGTAACACTAATTAAATAAACCTTCGAAAAGTGAAGCCAGTTTCGATGTAGTCGCCATGTTGTGGTGCCTATATGTTGCCCATTACTACCTCCAGGGTTACCAGGCCTACTGATTTTTCAGTAGATCTATTGATTTCAACTTCAATTTACTGATTTATTGAAACACTATAACGATCAAAATATGTAATGATAAAACCATGTTCAAAAAGTGATCAATATGTCAGTATTCAATTATAAATTTTGAAAAAATCTATTCATTGATATATCCCTTAATCTCAATCTACTGAAGAAATAAAATATGTCCTGGCAACCTTTCTGGTGCTGGTTTGGCCTCAGTCAATTCCATACGATTACGCGTCCCCTCTCTTTCCTTGTCTATTCTGCCAGCAATCTAATATCGGGTCCCTAACTACTAATCTAGACAAATAAAGATGAAGATTTCAAATTTTACTACTTTTAAACTTTCTTCTTCTTCTTAAGGTTCCATCTTCTAACGAAGGTTGGATATCAACATGGCAATTCTTATTTTACTTACAGCAGCTCTAAATAGTTGGCTAGAGCTCAGACTAAACCATTCCCTTAGATTTCGTAGCCAGGAGGTTCGTCTTCTTCCTACATCTCTTTTACCTTTTATTTTGCCCTCTATAATCAAACGTAGTAGCCCATAACGAGGACCTCTTAATATATGACTGAAATATTCAAGTTTCCGCCTCTTAATTGTCTGTACAATTTCTTCCCTCTTATTAACCCTATCAAGGACTTCAATATTGGTAATTTTGTCTACCCATGCTATTCGTAGCATCCTTCGATAACACCAACGCTCAAAAGCTTCCAATTTCTTAATCTCCAGTTGTTTCAATGTCCATGCCTCAGATCCGTAGAGCAAAGTTGTAAAAATGTAGCAGCGCAATAACCTTATCCTTAGATCCATTCTTAGGTCTCTACTACACAATAGATGTTTCATTTTTACAAATTTTGCCCTTGCTATTTCTATACGGCTTTTAATCTCTTGCGTTTTTTCTGCGTTTTGACTAACCAATGTTCCTAGATATTTGTATTTATCTACCCTTTCTATCTGGATATTATTAATATGGAGTGTCTCGTTGTCTTTTGGATGTTTTGTAATGACCATGAATTTTGTTTTCTTTAAGTTCATTTTAATACCATATATGGTACACTTTTCATTCAGCCGTTCCAGTATGTTTGTTAGACTTTGCAGAGTTGAAGTGAATATGACAGTATCATCGGCATATCTTATATTATTAATAATTTCACCATTTATTATCATTCCATCGTTACACTCTCCTAAAGCTTCTTGGAAAATGGCTTCGCTATATATATTAAACAGCAGTGGTGACAATACACAGCCCTGTCTCACACCCCGAAGAATTTCTATTTCTTCCGACATTTGATTTTCAATTCTTATTATGACTTTCTGGTTCCAGTAGAGGTTCGAGATTACTCTGATGTCGCGGCTATCGATGTTTTTCATTTTTAAAATATTAATTAGTTTATTGTGCTGTACCTTGTCAAATGCTTTTTCAAAATCAATAAAACATGTATACATGTCTTGGTTCATATCCAGATTTCTTTGCATGAGCACATTTATACCGAACAATGCTTCCCTGGTTCCCGTGCCGTTTCTAAAGCCTAACTGACTATCACTAATTTCATCATCCAGCTTTCTGTAAATTCTGTTGTGGACTATTCGTAGAAATACTTTCAAAACATGGCTCATTAATGCAATTGTACGGTGTTCTGAGCATTCTTTTGCATTTTGCTTTTTGGGAATAATTACGAATGTGGATACTAACCACTCCTTTGGTAAAATACCTGTTTGATAAATATGATCATAAAGTTCTACTAGAATGTCTATCATTTCATCATCGATCAGTTTAAGAAACTCAATCGGGATTTCATCCGGACCTGTGGCCTTTAAACTTTACCGATATATAAATATATACTTACTTGGTGTGTTTTCTTCTTTGAAATCTACTTGACTCTTAGAACATTTGTAATGGCTGGGAGATATCAAAAATATTCTTGAGTTTTCAGGATCGGTGTGGTTTAAATGAGGTAAACTTAGTTTTAATAGACTCGCTGTGGATTCGCTGAAAACAATGGTTACATATAAATCTTTTTCCTGTTTTCCATTTTGCATAATAATTGAAAATATACTTTAAATTTTTTTAAGATTTTGAAATTGTAAATGATGGTTATGAGATGATATGAAAAAGTCATATTGACAACTTGTGACAGTTTGATAGTTCATAGTGATAATTTGTTATCAGTAGTAATATCCCTAGGACATTGATAACAGATGAGATAATTTCATGACAATCGAAAGCTCGTTCCTTGGTAACAGCACGAAGCCGAAGGCTGAGTTACCAAGCAACGAGCTTGAGAAATTTGTCATGAAATTATGAGGCATTCATCAATGTCCGACGGATATTCGGTGGATAATTTTTCGAAAAAAAAAAAATCATAACTCAACATAACGAAACATTTATTTATTAAAAGTACAGTTAGTGAAAGTACAATTATTAAAATTTAAGTTAACATTAGATTCGTTGCTGTTCTCTACTATAGAAGATCTATTACCACGCATAATATTTATAATCTTGTTGTGGTGTTCTTGATCGAGATTCAAGTATGGTTTTATAGAATTCTGATTGCCATGACCAGTAATTTTTAGCAATTGTTGTTCTTCTACACCACTTTTTGCTAATTCGCTAACAGCAGTTGATCTATTCGAGTGATTTGTTATCTTTTTCTAAGTTTTTTGTTAATTTTTCTAAGCTTCTATGTTCATTCAACTCATATTCTCGTCCGCAGCAAAATTCCATAAATATTCCCCAAATATATTTGTGACTGTAGGTTGTATTTCTGGGAATTTTTTCTTTGATTAGCGCATTTATACTTTGAACATTCTCATTGCCGAAACGTGACATTTTGAAATTTATTTGGATGAAGTTTTCAAACTCGATTGTGTTTTCGTAGGGATTGAAAATTGCACTGAATTGCAATTATCAGTCTAATGTTGACATGATTGGGTGAAATTGTTCCACATGACACAAAATGACGAAATTTGAATGGTTGTTAGAACAGTCGAAAAATTATCAATAAAACAGCAAGATAAAGAGTGAAAATCAATGATGTACTGGTTAAACGATAGTATCCAAGGCTCTTAAGTGATTTTGTATTGTGTAAATATGACCAGAAAAGAAATTCTTATTTAACCACAGTCTAAACCTAAACTTACGTCAAAGAACTGACAAATATATTTGTTCTGTGTTGATTTTATTATGGCATCGATACCTGGACTTGGAAGACTGATATGATCAATCGCTTAGAAGGGTTCAATATATGGTTGCATAGAAGAATGTTTGGAATATCCGAAGAAGTATGAGATACAGCAGATGTCATTCTTGAATTATTTAAAACTATTAGGTAAGAAATATTTCACACTTAAGACATGTTGAAAAGTAAAATCGAGGGTCGCAGAGTAATTGAAAGGAAGCAGATGTCATGGTTCAAATCATTCGCGATTAAACAGGAATGCGCAGTGCCAAACAACTATTTTCATTAGCTGAAAACCACGAACAACTCCAAAATGTAATTGCCTACGTGATAGGGAATCTATACTGTCACAGAAAAAAGAAAATCGTATATAAAATTATGATTTTTCTCATAGTCCATACGGTAGGTATAAACAAATTTTTGCTGATTTAACAATTTACCGAATATCGGATCTAAAGCCGGACCTGATCTTTGTTATAATTTTTATTTGGATAATATGCAGGAATAGGTAGGTACAATAGGGCGTGGCTTATTTAACTTTGAAGGTGTTGAAAAGATGCTGCATAAATAAGAACCATACTCCTTTCTAATAATGCTATCCAAAGAATACTCGTCCGCCTTCAGGACCATTTGGTAAAACCTCGTCTGCTCTGTCCGCCGTTGATCTTCGTCTATGACCCTAAACAGGGGACCCTCACAGAGTGCTTTCAGCCGGTCCAGCTAAACTGTTTTTTTATTTTTTCTTTTTTTTTTTCTTTTTTTCGGGCTTTCAGAAACTTTTAGAAGAGCTGTCAAGGGGTAACGTATTGAAAAGAATTTTTAAATTAAGAGCAATTGATGTTGTTTCTGAAAAGACTGATTCATTTATACTACTTCCAAAAAAGCCAACACAAAGTAGTGCAATGAACATCGCATTACAGCCTTAATGAGTCATGTGTTGAAACTGTTTTAAAAATTAATTCACAATAAATACATAAGAAATTAAATGAAGGCATAAGTAATACACAAATATGATTTAGGAAAGGTCTGGGAACACGGGATGCACTGTTTGCAGTGAGTGTTCTTTCGCAGTGATGCCTAGATATAAATCAGGAAGTATATGCCTGTTTAATTGATTTTGAGAAGGTATTTAACAGAGTGCAGTATAATTGGCTCACAGAAATTTTCTTAAATAAAAACATAGACAGTGAATACATTAAAATTATATGTAACCCATATTAGAATCAAACCGCGAAAGTAGAAGTTGAAAATGACCAGAGGATATACAGTTTAGCTCTGAGGTGTGCCAAGGGTGTATTTTATCACCATTGTTGTTTAATTTAAACAGTAAAGCCATCTCAGAATTAGCGTTGGCCGAATTCAATGAGGACCTGATAATAATTGGTAATCCACTTAATAACATAAAATATACTGAGGACCCATTCTTCTGGCGGAAACACTGAAAGAACTGTAACACCTTATATATCGCTACAAAATAAAACATTAAAGTTAAGCTAGTACTAGACAACACAGAAATTGAACTCATACCTTCATACAAATACTTGGGAGCATGGATCACAGATACTGATCAAACTAAAGAAATAAGATGTCGCATTGAAATTGCACGGTCAACTTTTAACATATTGAGATAACTACATTTTCTGTAATCGCAATATCAACATAACGGATATGAATGCTTCGATGGTACATTTTTTCCACCCTTTTGTATGCGGTTGAGGCCTGGACACTAAAACAATCCAATATTAAAATCCTGGAAGTATTCTCGAACAACTAGGAACATTATGTAAAGTGTAGGAAGAAGTAAAATCTCATGTCTACGCAAACTCCGTGAATGGTTTGAATACTGTTTAATTAAACTATTAAGGAATTAACAAAACTATAATTGCCAGAATAATTTCTTATCTCCGATAGGAGCGGAACTTAAAGAAGAAGAATAAATCCATTTTTGGACAATAATTCTTTTCACAAACTGACATTCCAACAAAAATAAAAGAAAAAATTATTTAAGTGAGAACTTATTAAGTGATATAATGTTAAAATTGGACTTTTTTCCCAAAATCCGGATCAACTTTTTTGGATCATAAGGATGCAAGAATACCCTGCATTGCCGAGCGTAGCTGCTTTGATAATGTTTTTATTTGCCATACCTTGAGAACCACTAATAAATACAATATCAGCTTTTTAAAGATTGGATAAAAAACTAAAAAGCAAAAATGACCAAACACAGTCTAAAAAGATTAAATTTTATTAAAAAATACTGTATACAAAATATATATCTAAAAATGTTAAAAATAACAATATTCTGAAGAATAAATCTTCTTCTTATATTGATTATCCGTTCCGGTTGTTGGCATTTGGTTGTTGGTATTTTCAGTTTGTTCAGCTCCGTGCTAGTCGAGTAGAATAAATACTATTGTGCAAATTATAACTCATCAGTCTCTTATTAGAAACACTTGAAATACAAGTTTATATTAATTCTATATTTTTTTTAGTACTTCCATCAAGAAGACACTGTATCTCATTAACATTTTTTCCTGTTGTTTCAGGTACAAACTTAAAAACGTACAATGCAGCCAAAACACAGCAAACGCCAAAAAAACCAAAAGATCCGGATTGCCCTATAAGCTTAGTCACAGCCCCAAAATAATTGCTTATAACAAATCCCAGTATCCAACAAAATGATGATGTAACAGAGGATGCTAACGATTTTATGTTTTCTGGAAAGATTTCTCCCATGACTGCAAAAGGTAAGGCCCCAAAGCCCAAACAGTATGTGATGATATATACTACGATGCTTAAAATTGGCAGCCAACCTAAGTTGGATATATCCGCGTGTTGAACGTTTTTCAAATAAAAAAAGAAAGCTAGGATACTATGTGCTGCAGCCATTCCTAAACCTGAGGTTATGAATAGAAATCTTTTTCCGCATCTGTTTACAAGAAGGGGAGCAGCAGGACTTGCAAATATCTGAACGATACCCATTATAATGGTACACATTTCAGGTGCTATGGGAACACCAGCGTCTGCGAAAACACTTTGTGTGTAGAAAAGTACAACTGTAATTCCAGATAACTGTTGTCCTGCAACTAAAGCCATAGATATCGTCAAGGCCTTTCTTAGTCCGGGTGATTTAAATATAAGTTTAAAACTGCCTTTACTTTTCAGGTTTTCCATCAGTTGAGAGTTAATCAAATCAGCTTCTTTTTGAGCAGATAATTCTTTTTGGCCTCTAAATTTTTTAAGAGCCTGTACAGCCTCTGACATTCTTCTTTTTTGTAGTAAAAACAAAGGACTATCTGGTATAAATACTGAGAATAAAATCATGAACAATGTTGGAGGAATTATTAGTATTATGTTAAATGTTCTTATTGATAGGAATGGTCCAAGTGCATAGGAAAACAATAAACCTATAACTACAAAAACTTGCAACAAAGAACCTAATGTTCCTCTAGATGCATCATCTGATATTTCTGCAATGTAAATAGGAAGTACGGTGAAAATAATACCTACCCCCAAACCACATAACAATCTCGAAAAGTAAAATAAATATATGGATTTTGCAACAACGTTTACCATAAATGCTAAAAGAAAAGGCAGGTTCCCGATAAGAATAGTCCACTTCCTACCAACTGAATCAGCTAGAAATCCTGCACCGATGGGCCCAACTGCAGCAGCTAAGGGTAAACATGCTCCGATCCATCCTTCTTCTGATGGGCTTATGACTGTTTCTATTGGTGTTGTGTTTGAGTTTTTCAGTTGTGGAATTTCTGGCGAGGTCCATCCAAATGCGATGCCACTAATAAATGCTGTTATATATGCTGAAAACAAACCAAACATGTATATTTTATCAATAATATATAGTTGAAGAGATTTCATCGATTAATTAAATCAATTAAAACACCGATTAAAACATGTAAATTAAGAAACAAAAAAATAGCAAAAATATTT